TCGTTAAGCAGCTTGGGTCGATGTTAGTGAGGTGCATGGCGTATGCACAACCACTCAGGTGTGACGGAATGCATACTAACGGAGGGCATAGGCTAACGACTACTATGCTGCCTCTTGTAATTGTTCAAAAGGGAGATCTCTTACCGATCTTCTAACTATTTCAAACTTAAACATCGGGGGTTAATTTGCCTGCATAATACCTGTTGGTTCATTTAAACAATGCATAATAAATCTTTTTTAACTGTACCACAAGATTTTTTTTATTACTCCTGAACAGATCGTAATGCCCAAATATTTCATCAATTTTATAATGACCCATTGAAATTTTCAAGGTATTTAGTGGCCTTTGTTGTCAAACTGTTCTTTTTTTTCTTTTTTGACTCCATCAGTGTTGTGTAATGAGCTTTAACTTTTCTAGGAGTTTGTTTGTTAATAATATTTTATTTATTACAACAATAGAAAAAAATTTTTTTTTAATTGCTCGGTGATCATTACACTAAATTGATTATGAAATTCTATTACTTTGATTTAATTTCGAAAGTAGAGGGGAGACATTAGAGGTAATGGACTGATAATAACTGATGATTGACGTCAATAATCAAGCATTTAACTTGCAGAAAAATTTGACAATTTAAATATATTTATATGAGATAAACAATAATCAAAATTTCTTGTTACTTTCAAAAGCATAAATAGTCGAATTATTTTTGATTGACTGCTAGAGGCTATTTACTTAAATCTATGTCAATAACTGCAGTTTAAACTCTAAATTATGATGAAAACAAAGGCATGTAAAAGTCATACATTTCAAATAGCAATAACTCACGAGTACACATCGGAGGGAATCCCCTAGTCGTGGTTAGTCTTTTATGCAAAGTCAAGCCAATATGGCGGGCGTGTCTAAGATGATTGAACGACCGAGTAACATTGCAGCGACTTGACGGACCGACCTCGTATATTTTGTATTCATAGAATCACTTGGGAACCATAAACTTCATTGCATTCATGACTTCAACATCAACTACAGCCGCTAGGCTTACTTATATCTACAGTTCTCGCGATTCTGAGGTTCTTTGAGAATTTCCTTCTCCTTTGTAAACTTTCTTCAGTGTACTATTTAATCTTCACATACACAAGTGCAATGCTACCGATCGATTTACCCTCTAGTCACTAAATTCCAGAAAATCTGCTTTGATTATACTTTGTGTGCGAGTAATTACGTGCTTGTCTCATTACTTTATGCCACTCGTACCATTATCTTGCATTTGCTCCAACAATGTTGTTAAAGGGTTGCATACACTCAACATTTTTTACAAAATCCTCTTCTCAAGAGTTATTATTTATTTTTCTGATTTTACCTTCAATTTAACTATGATTATATTTGATAAATATCAATAAAATATTTTTATAAATAATTTTATGCGATTAAACAATTTTACGTTGTTTATAACAATAGCAATTTACTATAAACAATAATAATATTTAATAAATTTTTTATCATTTTCTCTATTTTTGATACTTTTTTTTTTAACAACAAATATTGATGATATTTCATCAATATTTATTTAAAATAATTTTTTGGAAAGTAATGATGAACAAAATAGGAAGAGAAGACAATGCAGAAAAGTGCAAAAGGATAAATCTGTGAGAAATGTTTGCGGTACACCAATTGCATATGGTGTTCAGTTGATCAGTTAATTATGTAGTGATACTGTAATTCCTAATTGGCGTATAAAAAATTTTATTGCTCCGCTATCTTCGTCTAAAAACCATATAAGGTTAGACAGAGGAACAGGTCGAAGATCTTAGTCTTCCGCCGAGTGACCGAATGCACTTTCCCATCGTGAGCTGTGCTGCCGGCACGGTTTTGCATCACGATGCCCACTTATCGTCGTTACTACGCTACGGTAACTAATACGTGTGCCGCGGCCGTTATATCTCTTCAAGTTGCATGGATTGGTTAACGTCAGTATAACGGCGGCTTTCCGATAACACGGATGATGGGGCACGACATCATTTGATATATCTCTCCTATATATATTTCCACTTTTATTTTACACAAGTGTAGTAACCGATGATGTATATATTTTCACGTAGACTGCCGTTAAACCGAATTACAAATTACTTAATAAAAGTCATCATTAACCCAATGGATCTTTATACACACTTTTAGTCTATCAAATCCATACTTCTCCTCACTTTATTTCTAATTTATTTTTTGAAATAACGATTTTTGGACTAAGCTGATTCGAGATCTAGATTTCAAAAACAATGATTGATCAATATAATTTACAGATCGCTGATAACGAGATATGCAGATTCAAGACACAGGCGTATTATTGATGTTCGTTGGCGTAAAATCTGGGCGTGCTGCGTACGAAACCATTATTGGTTTAAGTTACGTTGTGATTTGTATGAAATTCGATCATCAGCCCACGCTAGAAAACCTCCATTGCCATCCATACAATAGGCTCACTTTGTTCACCTTATTGATAACAGTCGCTTCTTATTTATCATTTTTCACTGCTACATCTTTATTAAGACTTGGAATGATTATATTCTGAACCGACAACTTGAACTTTTTCGATCTTCATTAAAGAAATTTAGATTCCCTCATCAATAATCCAGGTCGTAATTTAAATCTAGTCCTATTCTAGAGTCTTGAACCTGTTCTACTTAATTTCGAAAATGTCTTTCTTAGTGTGGCATCTCTACCATCTAGACCAGAGCCATAGTAATAGAAGGATAGCAGTAGAGTAATCAGTAATTGCACAATCTTTTTCTCATAAAATTCTCAAAGGAAACAATTTCATGAAAACTAAAGATAAAAAGTTTTCAAGAAGGAAACTTAAAATGAAAATAGCTTTGGCATAACTAAAACATAAAACAAATAGACATTACAAGCAACAAAGGTGATCATGATAAAGTAGATAGTAAATATTCGGAACAGACTGGAGTATTGTAAATGATTATATATATATATATATATAGATTGTTGAAGCTTACTAACCCTATAAACGGTGTAGTTTTATGTTGACAACTGGTCAAGAGATAGAGCCCCACACAAGACGTAGACGTGTGCGAGAAATACTGGCGTTCTTGTACTCTCAAAAGCCTATTGGACCACCTTGGTATCCATGATAAACAGTCACGCGATATTCTCACCTCGCTCTTTACCCTCTGACCTTCTTATGTCGAGCTTTTGTCCTTAATTGAATATCATCTTTTGTCCCATATTGACATCTCTATTATAATCATTTTTCATGGAGTTAAATTTTCAACTGAAACTTATTTGAGTGGAGAAAAATAACTCAAGATGGAAAACAATAAATAATAGATTTAAATATTATTGGACAAAAAGTAACAAACGTTGGGATATAAAGTGTAAATATAGATATATTGAAGGAGTTGAAGGAATATAAGGCAGAATAAGGTTTCTATATAATGTCGAGAATAATGTTAAAACTTTCTACTATCAAATAGATTTATAGGCACCCAACAAGTCGTTTACCTATTATCCTAGAAGATTAAGTACGTTATTTGTGGTTTTTTACGACAAATGTCTTGGGCTTTGTTAAAAGAAGCTTAGTTTTTTACTAGATATCATAGTAACTTGACAAAGTCTAGTGGATATGATTACGGAAATTGTTGAAAAAAAAATTATTTTTTTAGTCCAAGCGGAAAGGAACTATTTTCTTAAAGATACACTTATTGGAATATAGGTGTCTTTAATCTTCATAAATCTCAGCTCATCATGAAATTTGAGATCTCTACTTTAATATCCTAATGCTAAAAAAATTTCGTTAATTTTGAATTTCTTACAAAAAAAAATAAGGATAAAAGCAATTATATCTCCAAGTCCATCAATCACTGACTGTCTTTAAAAAATTTTTCTTCATAATTTCTGACTTTTAAGTAACTCTAAAATTATTATTTTATGATAATAAAAAGCTTTTTATATATCCTTGGCTATTTAAATCAAAAATAGATTATTTCCGTGACAGGATAATGTTTTACTCAAATGATATTATTTTCCTGTATCGACTTGCATATCTATTTAGCGAGTACAAGTGCTTAGCAATTATACATGAAACATTTAATACTAAATCGTAATAATCAGAACGAATTATCAACAGTAATGTAGTTCAATTAATTAATAATAATAATGTTGTCCAATGGGGCAAAAAGAATATCCATTTAAAAAGCCATGAGAAATGGGAATAATCATCAGCTCTGTATCATTCGTAACGTATCGGATGATGATCTTATGTAGGAGACGATCACGAATCGAGTGTAAGTGTTGTACGAGTGTACATATATTACCTATAGCTTGCACATATCTACAGTGTAAGATCGCCGGGTGCGGAAGTCTTGTGCGAAGGAGCAAGAGATAAGAGTCAGGACGATCGTCTTAGCTTAACAGGAGTGAATGTCCGTGACGGCTGGCTGGTTTATCCGGATCGTCGTGATACCTAATCGCCTGCTATAGGTGCTCGACCAACTCCGACAGGTGACTTATCGCAGCAATTCAAAATGGCGACGCCTGGTAGAAAGACATAAATTACATCCATTTCTACCAATCGATCCGCAGCATCCCAACTAGTGCGTGCTTGATAATCATCGGAATAATAAAGATTCGCGTTAATAAAAATTTTACAATCATCTCTGTGTATTACAAGCGCGATACTCGACCAGTTGCTATTATAATTGACACGAGGATTTTTTTTAAAAAATAATTTGTTGTCTTCGTTAGCTATTTCGAGTGAGCTTGAGATGTTTTACTTATCAATGATCTTGTTCAAATCGTAAAATGAATTTTTAAAATATTAATCATTGGAGTGACGTCACCTAACGTGAATGACCTTTTTAAAATAAATTTAAACACCAAAAACAAAATTACAGTGTCCAATAACGTATTTGCTTTGGTGACTCTCCCTTTTTTTAATTACTAATTGACTGCATACATATTTTACATTCCTAGATAACTTCAGTAAACTCACCATCGATGAACGTGTGCCGGCGCGTGTCACCTGTCCTCATTCACGGTTGACTAAGACTACAGCTTATGTCGTTGGACGTTTGCTCCATAAACCCTGCACCCTCCACGGAGATATGGGCGAGTAACCTCTAGTCAAGGGACCTGCTGGACAGATATGCTTTTTAATATAATAAGGAACAAGTTTTACACTAAAATTAACCCCTAAGACTTTTTAATTTATTGCCTTAATTAGACCAAAAATTGTTTTTCTAACATGTTTATCACTCTAATATTTTTTTAATGTTAGTGGAAATATTTAATAATTAAAAAAATAAATATTTAGATTAAAAAAATTCTCACTAATTTTTTTTCATGCTCTTGGTCATCTAGGACATCAACTACTCTCAAAAATTGCTTGAAATAATTCTCCAAAAATTCTTATAAAGCTACAACCTTCAAAATCATTTTTTTGAGACTTGTTTGGGGTCTGAAATAACATTCTGAATGTGAATTAATTATAAAAAGTAACCGTTTGAGGCCAAGAAAGCGTGCAAAGGAAGTTACTCAACAGCCCCTTCAGTCTTGGGGGTTGCAGGTGTAGAAGCTCCTCGCGAGCGGATTCATGGTCGCGTGATTACCGGAGGTAAGTCTTCAGGGGTCATAAGAGGAATCCAAGTGACTGTTATTTATACTGTTGGACTAAAATACCAAGCAAACATTTATTTGCAGACACTTATCCAAGTGAAGACACGTGCCTCAACCTTGAAACTTTTTTTCCATTCTGGGGTTATTATCAGAGACTTTGGACAGCTCGACAACATGTGCTATGGAGACACGCTCTGATGATTATCCAAAAGCCACCCTGCAAATATAAGGAAGTCCAGCGTATCTTGGTGGCTGCAGGTGATATGCTGGTGGTCGAAACAGGTGATACTTCTCCACTTGATCCGCTTGCACGTTATATCAAGCCCCCTGTAACTTGACAAAAAAATCTAGAGCATATGGAATAATAGTAGCTAATAATACTGTTGATAACAAAAAAAATGTAATTCGATTTTTGTTCCTTATTTTTTTAATCAGGAAATAACTTGGAGATTGTGCTAAAATTGCTAGTAATTTATTTTATTATTATTTCTTACTTTATGTAAATTAATGTTTGAGGAAAATGCAATATTTATTTTATTTTTAAATAAATAAATAAATATGAGATAACTGTATCTTATCAACAAAAAAAGTCTTGCATATAACTTGGCCTGTTATTGCAGTTGAAAGAAATTTTTTACTGATAGCTTGTATAAATATTCCCGAGACATAATATAAACTGATTAGAAATTTTCTGTTGCTTATAAAAGTTGAATTTATTTCTACAAATTTAGTTAAAACCCAAAATGAACTCTAAAATTATTACCATCTCCATCGCCATCACTGCTATTATCATGATAGGTAATTGAATAAATATTTTTTTTATCTTCCAATAATCATTGAATGTATTTTAAATTATTTTCAGTAGCTCTAAAACCAGTACACAGCCAAGGATGTGCTGATGTAGAGTGCACTGGAGGGCCATACGACAAATGTTTTGAATGTGGAAGTGCATGTCCACTGACTTGTGACAATCCTAGCATGGAAGGCAAAGCTTGTATCATGGTAATCCACCATATGACACCTTTATATAATTTTTTTTATTATTATTTTATATATATTATAAATAAATTTATGTTTATTATGTAATTATTTAGGTTTGCATGCAGAACGTGTGCCAGTGTACTCAGGGAACTGTTCGTGGACCAAATGGCAAATGTATTGATGCTTCTGAATGTCCTGCAAAAAGTAGTTGAAAAAAAATAAACCAATTTATTAAATTTATATATACTGATTTATTGAATAAATAAAATAATTTTCTCAACATTTGCATGTTTAAAACAATTATTTCCTTAATAAAAATGATATCAGACTACAGTCGATTAATATTTTGATATGTCTATATGATTTGTGAACATTATTCATTTGCTATTGAATTTTTATTGCAACAAAAATTATTCCAATAATTTAAATCTTTGTTCGATAATGAAAAAAGTCGGAAAAAAAATTAATTACTCAACATTTCTATTTACTTTGTATATTATCGCCATTTATTTCATTGTTTTATTTGCTTCGATCAAATAATGACTCTTTACCTTGACTTCAACGTAATCCCAAGCTAAACGTCAAGTGCACATAGTCAAACAGGCGATCAGGCACAATCAGCCACTCACCGGATTAATAAATAAAACTGTTTGAAAAAATAAAGTAACATTCAATGCAAACAGAAAACTCAGTTACACCAATACGAATTACGGAAACAATTCCATCAAGTCTAGATATAAATATGAGAGTAAAGATCATCTGCGACATTTCATATTGAGATATTTTATCTCTGCTTACTTTAAAGATCATTAAATTCAAAAAATTTAATTAATTTTATTAACATGTCTGACTCATGGAAAATGTTGCTCTTTGCTTCAGCAGTTGTTCTTCTATGTAAGACTAATTTCTAAGTAATTCAGTAAATCTATTATAAATCAATAGTAATTATTAGAATAATTTTATTGGATTCTTGTGTAGTGTCTTTGGAGCAAGTCAATGGTCAAGGCAACTGTCGTAATGTCTTTTGTCGTGGTGGTCTATATGATAGATGCTTCGAATGTGGAAGTTATTGTCCCCCAACTTGTGAAAACCCTAGACCTCAGATATGTCCTCAGGTAAATTTCATTCATTCAATTATTACTGTGAATGATTGATGTATTTGGTTTTTCATTGTTTTAAATTGTTGTATACAGGCTTGCATCTTAAACGTATGCCAATGCACTGGAGGAACCGTTCGTGGACCTAATGGAAGATGTATTTGGCCTTCACAGTGTCCTCGTCGTTCACTATATTCTAAATAAATTAATTTTAATTTTATTTAATTTATTAGGTAACTAGTGTTAGTAATTATTATTAACTTATTAAATAAAGATTAAACTTATCGACATTTTTATTTTCATCATTTCTATCCACATTCTGATCTTTTCTTTTTTTGGTTTTTGTAAATACCACTGAATTCTTTATTAATCGTTTATCGATCATTTATTTATTTTAAAAATTTATTCATTCATTTATTTTTTATAAAAAAAATTTTCTTATGCACAATCATCAATGATTGGATGATTAATTGTATACACCGATCAATGAATATGACAAAAATCAATTGTACTAATATTTATAAAAACAACAGACCAAAAAAATCTAAACAGAAATTTTTCTTAATAAAAGTATTAGATTATCTCTTGATACGAGAATTTGTAAATAAATTAGTTTTTAATTTGTTATACTCATTGAAATTCCTGCTGATATCGTTAATATTTTTTTTACGAAATAATGAGGTAAATAAATAAAAAAAAATTTCTCTGAGAAACAATAATTATTTATAATCGAAATTTTCATAAGAAGAGATGTAAGATAATAAATAAACGTTTTCATAATATCAACATTGGTCAATCATTTTCATTAGGTATAAATAAGAGTGAAATTTAATGAAATGCAGAGTCCGCCAGTATGAATACTAAAACTATTGTCATTTTGTTCGCTATTACTGTCGTCGTCTTGGCGTGTAAGTAAATAACCTACTTATCTATATTAGTCAACTATTACTTTTTTTTATCACAAATATTTTTTACTTCATGATCTAATTATCAATCAATGAATTTTCTAGTGACGATTGACCAAGCCGAAGCTCAACGTGGTAGATGTCGTAGACGTTGTAGTGGTGGACCCCAGGATAGATGTGTAGCCTGTGGAAGCCGTTGCCCACCTACCTGCCGTAATCCTAGACCTAGATGCCGTTCAGGATGTATACACAATGTCTGCCAATGTGCACCCGGATGGGTTCGTGCTCCCGGCGGCCGTTGCGTTCGTCCTAACCAATGTCCAAGATCTCGGGGTTAGATATTATCACCCATTAACTTGATGAATTATAAAAATTATTATTTATCCTATAACCTTCAATCGACTGATCGATAGATAAATAATAAAATAAATTATTTAAGTAGTCTATTGTCGTTCTTTCATTCTTAATGAAGTTCTACCCAACTTTTTTTACATCAAGATCATCGTCCGATGCTCTAATATCCATTTTCAATCAAATCCAGGTGTCAAAGATTTATCAACGTTTCTCTGACAGCATTGAAAGTTCTTAGATGTTGCAATTCTAAAGATAAGACATTTTGATGTTGTTATTTTCATAATTTCTTCCAACATCTAGTCTTTTTTAGAATTTTTTTGCAGCAAGAGTGACATTCAATCAATAAAAAAAAATATGTATATTTCACTGGATGATAAATTGAAGACATCAACTAATGAACGTTGGGAAATTTATTTTTATTATTATTTAATGAACAAATAAACAAAAAAATCTGAATAGAAAGTTTATAACTACTCTAATGGATCTTTTGATGGAAAATTATATTAAAAAAATTTTTTTAAAATTAATACTTTTCCCTCAAAATAAATAAAGACAAAGATTATCTTTGAGTAACAACAATTATTACAAAGAGCTTGTATTGTTTTGAATTCATTCATGCTTTTCCAGATGGAATCTGTTTTCATATTTTTATAAAAAGAGATTCGAGACAGTAAATAAACCTTTTCATAAAATCAACACTGGTCAGTCATTCTTATGAAGCAGTAACATGAGTGAAGCTGAATGAAGTGCAAAGTTTTCCATCATGAATGCTAAGACTATTGTCATTTTGTTCACTATCACTATCATCGTCTTAATGTGTCAGTAATTACATACGAATTGAATCAATTCACCATCACGTTTCTATTACAAATAATTTTCTCAATCCACTATTCTTGAAAATAATGTCAAATATCTAATTATTAATTTCCTAGTGACAATCAACGAAGCCGAAGCTCAACGTGGAGGCAGATGTCGTAGACGTTGTACTGGTGGTCCTCGTGACAGATGTGTAGCCTGTGGAACTCGTTGCCCAGCTACTTGCCGTCGTCCGAACCCTGGACCATGTACAAAAGTAAGTAGAGTATTTTGATTTGAAAGTAAAAATCTTTCTCTGGCTGATAATTAATTATTCGATGTTGATTCATTACAGGATTGTGTTATTAATGTCTGCCAATGTCAACGTGGATGGGTTCGTGCTCCCAATGGCCGTTGTGTTCGTCCTAATCAATGTCTAAAATCTCAGGGTTAAATATTAACAGCCATTAACTTGATGACCTATACAAATTAATATTCTAATTTGTTTATTATTACTATTTATGTCTCATAAAATCCTTCTTTACTATTTAAAGATCATTTTCGGAAACCGTAATCCTACTGGTATTTAATTTGTCACAAATCAGTATCAATATTTTCCTTTCAGTTGATGTTTGGTAGAAAAAAAAGTGTTGCAAGATAAGAAATGATATGGCATGTTAAAGATAAATAATTATGAGCTCATAAACAATTTTTTTTAATGAAGCTTAATGAAAAATATGATAAATTATGCTATTGTTTCATTTCTTCCAATCAAATAATGGCTTGTCACCTTGACTTAAACATAATCCTAAGTTAAATATCAAGTTTGCTCAATCGAATGAACGATAACAATCAACCACTCATCGGATTAATAATAAATAAACAAATTGAAAAAATAAAATGACATTTAGCATAACAGAAATTTCAGAAACAATAATACAAAACATGGGAATGTTGCTCATAACTTTTGTATATAAATGCAAGAATCAAGATTATCTCCAGGAATACAGATACTTCTTACTCTTTGATCGGTTTATAATCAACGTGCATAAGTGCATCGAAATGGATACCAATCCAAATAAAGTTTTATTCTTTGTATCAGTGGCTGTGTTATTGTGTAAGATAATTATCAATAAATGAAAGGTTATGAAAAAAAATCAACAGATGAGTAATAAATTATTTCTTTTTGTAGTCACCTTTGATCAAGCCTTTGGACAAGTTTGCAATCCACCTTGCAGAGGTGGCCCCAGTGATCTTTGTTTAAGTTGCGCTAGCTACTGTCCCAAGACCTGTGCTCAACCACAGGGTCCAGATGCTTGCATTGCGGTAAATATTTATTCAAAAATCTACTCCATCTTGCAATTTAATTTTCATGATTTTTAAAGACTCTTTATTAACTCTCATGAAATCATGATAACACCAAGCTGACCAGTTCTGATATAGGAAGTTAATCTTCAATTTTATTTTATAATAAAAACATCTACTTACTCTTTCGTAGGCCTGCAGAGTCAATGCATGCGAGTGTGCACCAGGTTATGTCCGAGCTCCCAATGGAATGTGTATTAGACAATGGCAGTGTCCAAGGAATGAAACTGTTCATGTTCAGCCCTTGCGATGCAACCGTATCTGCTCTGGTGGACCCCATGATGTTTGCAAGCCATGTGGAACTCGATGTCCTCCAACTTGCGAGAATCCTGGACCTCGTGTTTGCACAAAGGTACACATCAACCTTCAACAAATAAAATTTTTTTTTGTTATTAATTATCATCATTGCCTTCTTAAAAAATTTTTTTATTAACTTTAATTTTATTTTTTTCTAGGATTGCGCAATAAATGTTTGTGAATGTCAAGAAGGATTTGTTCGAGCACCAAATGGACAGTGCATTCGACCAGAATTTTGCCCAAACCGACGTCCACCTCTCTGCTATGCTCGTGCAAAAAAATAACTAGTTAATGAATAATTTATTTATTTATTATTTATTTATTCAGAAGGAGTATTTAATTGAACATAGATCATTTTTGTATATTGAATTTCAATAAAAAAAACTACTAAAAATATATTAAACATTTATTTCTGCTCCATTTAATTACTCTAATTAACTCTCAAACTTTTATCACGTTGTGACATGATTTACGCTCTTTATCATTCCTTGTCAATGATTATTTTTACACTTGACTTACTGTGAAAATAAAATATAGAAAATTATTTAAAAATTTTCAGCATGATCAGCTTTCCAACGAAAAATTTTTGAACGAAACAATAAATTTATTTTTTCAAGAAAATTAATTTAAAATGATTCCTTAAATTAGGAAATTTTATTTCTTCATTTCAAATTGAATAATAACGCTGTTATTGATCATGTTGATAATGATTTAAGGTAAAGAAGGTCTCAGGCCTGATTAGAATTCCAGATAAAGTAAGAAAAGAATCCTTAACTAGTATGCAGTTGAAGTAACTTATATGAAGGAAAAACAAAACGAAGAAAATAAATAAAATAGGAAAAGAGAGAGAGAGAGTTTTATCGTCACGGTGGTCATAATATACACGCGTGTGTGTCGGCACGCGCTTGGCAGGTGTTTTTATTAGTAGTTGTCAGTGCTCCGCACTGCTACCCGCACGATTTCAAAGATAAAATGTGACGTACTATAATTATTGTAGTGTAGGCTGTTTGCAACATATGCAATCAACGGATTTTTATTGTCAACGTATTTTTTTTTAACAATATATATATTTCACTGTTCAACAAGTATTAAGAAAAAATTGATTATATGTTTCTTTCAAATATTGATCGACCTTATCTGCAAGTGTGTATTTCATTCAGTATCAATAAAGAACACATTTTATTTGAATTACAGTTAAACCTTTTTTTTCAATTTCGTAAAAAAAATTAAATTTATATCCATCGATTTGTTCAATTCGGATTCGAGAGTTTTCAATCATAAAAAAAACATTAAAAATTATTGAAGACTTTCTTTCGTCATTCATTAGCATTATGTAGAGATTTTAAAGTCGATTCTGATGTTCATAGTTTTAGCTCTGACTGTTTTTAGCAACAGACATAGATATTAAATTATAGTAATTGCACAAACTAACGTCAAATGTTTACAATATTGTACTTAGATAGTCGCGTGGCTGACACACGTTAAACCCTGTATTATTTTCCACCCTGGGCCTCTGTCCCTCATTCTCTCGCCAAGCCGGAAGTTACACCAGTGATAAAACTCAGAAACTCTTCCCCACATGTTAATTAACCTTCATCATAACACCTGGTACTTATTTTCCACCGTTTATAAAGTTGTAAAAATTAATAATCGCTTTGAAAAACTTACTTCTTTTCATTTTTTTCGTGAAAATGCGAGGAAATAAATAATTATTAGGCTCAAAAAAAAAATTTATTCCCCTCAAGTATTACTTCATTTGCATGCATTTAATTATTTCCTCTAAAAATTACTAGTTTTTAAAAAATTAATAACACTTTTTTCCCGACAATAAAAAAAAAAAAATTATTTTTATAATTTTAATAATAACGTCTGAATATTATATAAAAAATTGTAGTATTTGAGAATAATTTTTTATTGTTGTGGCAGGCTAATAAAAATGTTGGGAATTAATCGGCGAAAAATAATCCATTAAAGAATGAAAAAAGTACAATTTAAAAGATTAATATCCACGTCATGTTACTTGTTTTCTTTATGCATTTATTTTTCATTTATTCTTTTTTGTCTTCTCATTAATCTTATTATAAATTAACGGAACTTTTAATACAATCATAATTAGAAATAATGGATAACCCGGGTGGCACGACTTTTCGTTTTATTAGCAGATGCATAAATTTAACATTGGAGGAGTGTTGTAGACACGATCAACGTACAAGAGATATTATTCTCCACTACACCACGCACAATCCGGTCGATCAACGGTATCAAGTTTTGGCAAAAGGCCTCTAAGGCCAGGATACCCACCATATTATATATAAGACCTTCGACCATTCATAATCATTAGCGCTATGGTTCTGTCGACCATCGTGACTTATTATGTCACTTATATCCATTCGTTACAACTTTTATATACACACATGTACCCCTACATCGATATAAAAAATGATAAAAATTTTTTAACGAACAATCAAAATCCTTTTTTTTTTTTTTGCCTTTAGTCCATTTTTTATACTCTGCCCTTCCGCACTCTCTCCTCTCTCGAAAGTTTCAGTGATTAATTTTTTTTTTTTTTTAATCCATTTTTTCTTTGCCCGAATTCCTCTCATGTCTAAACAAACCATTTTCGATCATTTTATAATTTATAAATGGTTTTAAATAATTCTATCATGTAAAATACAATTACTAAAGACTGATTAGATCATGAATATTTGGCTAAAGGTCGTTAAAAAAAAGAATAAAATCGAATGACCAAAAGAACTTGACCGGATTATTAGGTATTGAATGAAATGTATTTTTACACATTTAGTTGGTCATGTTATTAAGCTCTGGTTTTCTTCTGTGCTCTTTTATTTAATATGTACGTATATCCCTCATAGTGAACGAACACTTAAGACCAAGCCTCCGTCTGACAAACCACATGCTCGCAAGGGAAATTAGCATACGACTGGAAATCGAACCAAGTAAAACTCGCGACGATGTCTCCATCGTTCGTGAAATGGATACCCGTTGTATCGTGTTCTCTTTTTAGGATTGGTTTATATGCACACAGTCGAGAACTTACAACCGGACTATGTACCTCAATCGTACAAAGTACTCACCCATGTAGGTGCAGTTTACGTCAGAACATTAAAACATTCAAATTTTATTTTACTTTTACAAATCCACATGAACATTCTTCAACCATTTATTCAGACTATTTTTCAAGAACCAACATTCTTTTGCAAAATAAAATTGTTCGGTGATTTTTTTTTTATTGATCACATAAATGTAGTATTGCTTGATAAAATTACATGAGTTTCGATCAATTTTTGCTCTTATTTTAATTATTTTTATTCATTTGAGACCTTGAGTCCAACAAAAAGGATGTATCTAATTATTAAAAATAATATTTTTTATTTCAAAATGTTTTTTTTTGCAATAAAATGTTGGAATTCAGTGTCATAATTAATAAAAAGATGCTTAAGGTGATTCAACAGTGGTGAAACCTATTCAATCTATCTGACTCTTAAACCGTTTAATATAAATTAATTATTATATTTATTAATATGTAATGAATTCGTAGAATTGACTGTGTAAGATGTCTCCAATAAAAGATTTTAAATATTTTCGGCAAAAATAAAATGATAAAAATGTTCTAGGATAATTTCTCTAGTGGTAATTCTCATGTTTAGCAATAAATCGACAGAAGAAAAATTAATGAAGTTGAAGAGAAATTAAAACAAGCGCCCCTACTTCCGGTTTCGAGTAGGTCGAGTCACCGTTACGGGTATCCCCTTACAAAGTAGCAGGCGTACCAACGTTAAATTGTAGGCGTATAAAAATCCTAAAGACATATAAAAGTGAAGACTTGACGATTATAAACAATAAACCATCGTGGTTGAAGGATATACATAAGATAAATGAATTTATGACTTAAATAAAAGAGTAAAAAAGCCATAAAATAATGCGGCAATAATTTTGAAAAAATATTTTGTCGAGTAAATTATTTTTTATTAACAATAATATTGAACTTAAAAAATAAAATTCACTGACTTATAAACGGCTGAAGCGATAACACGTGATCCCTTGACCTCACTTAGCAATAACTCAGTCAAGAAGGAAAGAAAAAAAAAAACAGACACAAAAGTTAACACTTTTATCTATTTTTGCTTAGCCACTTTTTTCGCGAGTTTCAAACTCTTTGCCAAGACAACGTAATTCGACATCAATATATCGATAAGTTAGCGAGCACATGGCAAAAAGCGCGGGATAAATATAAGAGTAAGAAATAAGTATGTACATATGTTTTTCTCGTGTCTCATATACCTTTCCAACTTATTCGCGTACTCTCGTTACGCGTTTATGCCTCCCTCGTGTGCTAAATAAGTTGAGCCGTTTGAGAAATAGCTTACGAGAGGTAAACCAGCTACAAAAAGGGATGAAACTCAAGTATATTTATTATCCTTGTATATATAAATACAACCAATCAGATAACATCTTTAGAGCGATAATAAGGTGAAAGCATCATTATTTTATTTTACTTTGATTTCATAATCTCCAATCATTTAATATTTTTTTCCTCTCATTTCAAATCAACAAACTGTAGGAAATTTTTAGAAAAATTTACACTAAACAGCAATATTTATTACGTTTTTTTTTTCTTTGTGTCGTAGTGAATAATAATCGGTTTTAAATTAAATAAAATTGTAAACGTGAATTGATTCTCACGATATAATTAATTCCTATTGTATATAAATGATGTGGCACGTCGAGGATTATTGCAAAAGTAAATAATCAGTACAGCATCGTAAAGCGATAAGATCATTGCAATTGATACAATTCGAATCTGTCGATTCAAATTAATCGTGTGAGCAACATCACGATACTCTAATTACAAATGCTCTTGTTAATTGATTATTATTCTTTAAAAAATACCCAGCAATTGACTTTAATCCACCTTAATGTCTCAATAACACCTCATGAAGAATCCAAACAATGTAAAAATTCAACCGATTACTTCATTAATTAATTGATTGATTCATTCACCAACAATTAAAACTAAATATTGTGATAATTATTTTTTGACCTCAAACAAAATTGGAATCGATGATTAATAAAATTATTGAAATAATAATAAAATGAAATTTGATTTGATTAAGGCGCTAATATTGAAATCGATCTCTTGGTATGTACTTTTGGCTGTTGCACCCGCACTCTTGCAGTGTGCCAAACAGGTTTGACGAGTTGGTGGTAGAACTACTATAAGGCCACGTGCTGCAACGCATTACTTATAATTCCATCAGCATTTCTCTCTCGTTCATTCACTCTTTCTTTTTCTTCAACATCCTCATCATTTTTTATTTTATTTTTATTCTTTTTCTATTTCTATTTATACCCCAAAATAAATACACA